TCTTTCATTTGCGGTGTAAGTTCTTGCACCTTTTGGAATTTCATAGGCTTTACCCGAGCTCGTTTTTCAATATTTGCCGAATAGAATATTGCGATATGTTCAGATCACGACCAGTTTTCGGCCACTACGACGTGGGTTTCGATCAAGTCGCTTCTTTACTTTTCGAACCATTTTTGCTGATGTCCACTTCCTTGACGTCGGGCTACGCTATCAGTATCAGCCAAATATAAAAAACGAATTCCACCACGAATAACTTTTTTTCTGGAAAACTCTCACCAAAATGCTTTTGTACCCTTGTAAACAATATAATAATTTTAACAATTGTCGGACGAGTGGCTTAGAAATGACAGCAGTCTGAAATTGGTTGTAGTTTTTTCATCTCACCCTTATGCTCTACATTATTACTTATCAAAGGGTAGCACAAAGAGAAAGGTATTGAGGCGAACTTAACGTGATAAAGCTTTATTGTGTATCAAAATTCCTGGGTTTTGTTGAAATGTAGAGTATTTGGTAAAATTCGGAATTGGTAACTTCCAGAATTGTTACCGATCTAAATAAAATCTTTGAGTTACCTACACCACCACCACAGTGTCACCAATGACATATCATAGCAAAAATCTAAAATTAGTTACTGAATTAATCTCCGCATTCCCAGAAAATTCGATTTTATTTTTCCGAAAAATAATTATTATTTAAACAAAAAGATAATATGTACATAGAAGCTCATTCTCTCAAAAATCGTCATTACCGTCATTTAAAATTAAGATCGAACATTAACTAGACGCGTGTTTCATTTCAATTTTCATTCATCGATTAGATTATTTGTGTTTGTTTTACGAGCTTCGTCAAGAGAGCTCTTACAGTATTAAGCTAGGAACACAATTGGAGCGAACGACGAATTTCGCCCTACGCGGCGACAAAATGAGCCGCGAAAATTCGTCGTATGGAACACAATACCGACGAAATTATAAAACAGCTGATGAAGTTGTTTACTTTTTGCTCATTTGTTGACTACAATGAATTATACACGAACACATAATTCTTTACGTTCTCTATTATAATTTCACTTATGTCCATCTTCTCTATTATAAATTCACTGATATCCATCTTCACTTAGGCGCAAGTACACAAATAAATAAACAAATTAATTATGTTTTTTTTATACGAGTAACAGATAGTAGAGTGACCATAACAAATTTTAAAGTAAAAAGTAACTTTATTTACTAAAACACATAAAATTCGTACAAGTATGGCCACCTTGTACTGTTTTGTTCGCCGGTCGCCGGCGTATGAAATAGAAATAAAGCTAATTGAGTTCGCGGCGACCGACGAAATTTTCGCCGGTGCCGTGATTGTGTGCACTTCCATATACACATATGTGTTTTATTTTTGACGACGAACATACGCCGCGAAAAAATTCGTCGTTCGCTCCAATTGTGTTCCTAGCATTACGCGATCATGCTTAGCGTTTGTGTGTGTGTGTGCGCGCGTTTCTAAGCTGAACATTTATATTTAGTTCAAAAGCAAAAGGACTTAAATGCTAATAAATAACTAAAATTTTGGTGGAATGTTGCACAGCCGAACGATTTTATACCTATGTATAGAAAGAGTAAAAATATACGAAAATTAAATAAAAAATGAATATTAACTAATTAGGGTTTAGTTGAGGAATTCTAGTAATGTTGTGGGATCTTGTAACTTTTATAAGACAACATTGTTCGCTATATCTTTGATCATCATTGGTCATTTAAAGATTTGTGTCGTTTTGAGACACACCAGGGGTGGATACTTGTTCTGTGAAAATATGAAATAAAAAATATTTCCTTTATACAAATTTTTCATTTGACATTTCCTTCACTTATAAAAGTTTTCATTTCACATTTTCATAGAACGAGAATTGAGATGCAGTTCAACGGAACTTTTCCGTGAAAAAAAAAAAAAAAAAAAACAATGGGAACTATGAACAAATGAGTTCAAATAATAAATTGAACTGGAAAAGACGGCTTAACTAAAAGGAACGGAGTTTCTCTTAAAAAAAAGGAAGGAGCATTGCAGAAGAATACAGATAGATGCATCAACGCTTGGGAGCATTGATATAAGTAGATTTTTATATGTTTTCTTATACTACGTCATTCGGAGGCTATTATAATTCGCGTTTTTCAACAATTTTTACAAATTTAAATAATTTTTCATTCAACATTTTCAATTTCAAAATTTGTTTGAGAGTTCATTGTACCAACAGCTGTGTCGACGTGTCTACCTATATTCTTCTACCATGGGAAGGAGAAAGAACTAAACGTTCAGTGAACTAGATTGACTAATAGCACGTTTACATACAAAAAAAAATTTTTTATTCAAATTAATCCTCATTATAAGGATTTATTTTTTAAATTCGAAACAAATCAACATAATTAATATATCGTTTATATACACAACTCTATCCGGATAAACCCTAGTTATTAGGATTTATTTCTTAATCCGTATATACAGGGTGAGAAAAAACTGCAACCAACTTCAGACTACTGTCATTTCTAAGCCACTCGTCCAACAGCTGTTAAAATAATCCCAGTGACAGCTCATTATATTGTTTACAAGCGTACCAAAAGTGAGAATTTTCCAGAAAAAAAGTTGTTCGTGATGGAATTCAAGCGGGATAGTGTTAGATGTCTTTATATTTGCTGGAAAACCACATCGTTGGCTATCGTTAGAGCACTCCAGCATTTAAATGTGAATAAATCTGTTGTGTCTCGTACCATCGCTCGTTACCGTGATTAATGACTGGTAGCGTAGCCCGACGTCAAGGAAGTGGACGGAAACAAACAGCAACATCAACGGAAATGGTTCGAAAAGTAAAGAAGCGATATGATCGAAATCACGGTTACAGTGGCCGAAGAATGGCTCGTGAGCTTAACATATCGCAATATTCCATTCGGCAAATATTGAAAAATGAGCTCGGGGTAAAGCCATTGAAAGTTCAAAAAGGGCAAGAACTTACACCGCAGCAGAAAGAAAATAGACTCAAAAGAGCTAAAGAGTTGCTTCGCTTGGCCGAAAGTGGTGAACTGCCGAACCGATGAGAAAAAATTCGCTGTCCAGCCGTTTGTAAACAAACAAAATATTCGTATTTACTTGCCAAAGAGGTCAGGTGAAAATATCCACCTTCGATTGGCCACCAGAACTCGAGCGCCAAAACTTAATCGACAGTGGTATCAGAATAAATGCTGAATATTACCACGAAAATATTCTGGAGGGTGTATAAAAGCCTTGGACACGCAAACATTTTGGCCGCAGACCTTGGTCATTCAACAGGACTCAGCACACACCACAAGAATAGTTACAAAAGACGTTCCTGGCTTCATTTCCAGCGCACAATGGCCACCAAAATCTCCGGAGTGTCTGGAGTATTTTGGAAAGCATAGTTGGCACTAAAAAATACCAAAGTGTCGATCACCTCAAGCAAGCGCTTCGCCGGGAATGGGTCAAAATACCACAGAGCAACATTCGGGCAGCGTGTGACGGTTTCATTGGCCGTTTGAAGGCCATAATTCGTGCCAAAGGTGGCCAATTCCAATAAATCTAAACTTTTTCTAAAACTTGGCTATACGAAGACGTGGATCTACACTGACAATTTTCTGTCTTAGGCTGTAGTATCCATTACGAATTTCAAATACCAAATTTGAAACTATTCCGGTGAAAAATGTCGCTAAAACCATCAAAATACCGAATATCGGGAGGTACAGTTATATGGGAGCTATACCAAAACGTGGACCTACATGGCCCATTTTCAATACCAAAAGTTCTGAAGACATAACATACATTTGAGCAAAATTTTATCGATCTACTTCAATTCGTTCGGAAACTAGAGTGATTTCCACAGACGGACAGACATCGATAAATCGATATAGAATTTTATGCTGATCAAGAATATATGAATGACAAACTTAATATACCCTCCATACTATGGTGGAGGGTATAATAAATAAAAGAAGAAGAGCTTATCAGATGTCATTGTTTATGTTTTTTTTTTTTTTTTTTTTCTTATTCGGAGAAAAATAAAACTTGTAGACAAAGTGTTGACAATATCTTCTTATTTTGCCATGGTTCCAACCCATGGCAGAAGAATATAGGTAGATGCATAAACTCTTGGGAGCATTGATATGTCAAAAAAATTTAAATGTTTTTTCAAATATAAGTGAATTTTTATATGTTTTCTTATACGACGCCATTCGGAGATTATTTTAATTCGCGTTTTTCAACAATTTTTACAAATTTAAATAATTTTTCATTCAACATTTTCAATTCCAAAATTGGTTTGACAGTTCATTGTCCCAGCAGCTGTGTCGACGCGTCTACCTATATTCTTCTACCATGTTCCAACCCATGTTTTTTTTTTCCAATATAATTAGATTTTTATGTGTGTTTCTTGTACGGCATCAATCGGAGGTTATTCAACAATTTTTAAAAATTTAAATAATTTTTCTTTCACAAATTTCAATTCTAAAGAAAAGAATTGACAATCTAAATTACTAGTTTAATTGAAATGAGTTCGGTAAAAAGGGTCCTGAAAAAAATAATTCTGATGAAAGATATTTTTTCAAAATCAAACCAAATTTGGTTCTTCGTTTACATAAACAATTTACTTATGAAAAAATCGTCTACTAATTAATTAAGTACCATGAGCCACGCTTAAAACATACAAGTGCTCAACTAAATCGATTCCCCCAACAAACCCATACACAAACATATGCGAGTACTTGCCTACTCACTCTCATCTATCGCCCGCCAATACAAACAAAGCTGCGAAGTACGCAAAAAGTCGTTAACAAAAAAATTGTTTAATGTTGTTCCCTTTTTCCCCAATGATGATGCTGCTGCTATCGCTGCCGCTGTCGCCGTCGTTGGCCGCAGTGATGGCGGTGACACTTGCGCATCGCCGCACTATTTTTGTGTGATTTTTATAAATACGAGATATTAGATTAGAAGTTCGCCATTTAAGATACAACATTGAGCGGGTGTAAATCTCACGTAATCTCGGTAATTGAACGTAGCAGACAAAAACTGAAAACGGAATAGCTGCAGAAATTATAACGAAACCCGATAACGGATTACGAAAGGAATTTCAGTGTCAATACTTATTAATATTTAGTTTGCAAGTGTTTATAGATAAAATATATTTAAATATAAAAATAATTTAAATTTCTTGGAAACAAAAATTGAAATGTTTGTGCAAAAAGTGGTGAGTTTAAATGCCTAAAAATGGATATTTGAAGAAAATATAAAAAAACACGCAATTTAATATTGTAATTAATCGAAAAATATAACAAATAAAAATTATAATATGAGATTAAAACGAAGGGAACTGAAAAGTCAAGGACAAAATTCTAGTATCCCAAAAAAAAACTATTAATTTTGTTAAAAATCTGAAACCAATAAATACAATATTTTTTTTTTAATCTGTGACTGTGGAAATACTAAATTCTTTAAAGGACTGTAGTGTGTTGTGCTCAAATAAAGATCCCTAATATAGTGTCTTAAAATGTACTTATGGTGTGCTTTGAAAAAGGACCAATGGACTTTTAGCGAATAGACAAGAAAAACTGCAAGAAGCAAATTTTAGCTTAAGTAGAACTTAAAAATTGTGATAAGGACTCTTTTCGATTCAGTATTGCACTCGGAAGTTCTGACAACGGTGATGGTTTTAAACTAAGGAAGAATAAAATTCAGTCCAGGCGCACTGCAATTTTTTAAAAGACTTATGTGTCAAGGCTAAATTGCGTCCAGAGTATTTGTCAAAAATTCCGATTTAGTTATTCCAACAACTTCCATGGTATCTAGTTTTAAGAAACACGGTGATAAAAAATAGCAATTTTAGATATTTCAAACTTAAATTGTAAAATTGTCAAAAAAAAATATCTCACAAATAGAAACTTGCATCCGAAAAGACTGATCGTATGAACGATCGAAACGATTTCCAGCTCCCTTTCATTTAAAGTCCTGAGGCTCAATTCTTGTTCTATAAAAATGTGAAATGAAAAATATTTCCTTTATAAAATTTTTCATTTGACATTTATTTCCTTTACAAAAGTTTTCATTTCAATTTTCATAGAACAAGAATTGAGACCCTGATTTAAATTTGGCGAGTTAAAGGGATTATCAGACGGAATGTGTTTTGCATAGGTGCTGTCATTTTTATTATCCATGTGCATGGTAGAAGAATATTGGTAGATGCATCAACGCTTGCGAACATTGATATGTCAAAATTTTAAAATTGTTTTGTCAAAAATAAGTAGATTTTTATATATTTTCTTATACGATGCAAATCGGAGGTTGTTACAATATGCATTTCTCAACATATTTTACAAATTTTAATAATTTTTTATTCAACATTTTCAATTCCAAAATCGGTTTGACAGTTCATTGTCCCAGCAGCTGTGTCGAAGCGACTACCTGTATTCTTCTATCGTGATCCATTTAAAATTCCGATCCGATTACAATTTTTTGTCCCTTTATTGTCAAATGTATATTTTGTAGTTCTTCCTTAAATATGGGCGTAACGCTGGTAAATGGTATTTTCGAACGTTATAAAAGTCAAAGAAAAATATAATTTTAAACAGGAAACTAATATATTAGTCTAATAGGTCAAGTAAAACTTAATTATAGAATGGATGAATTTGGTTCCGCTAAGGACAAGTAGAAAGACAATATCACACCTTGTTTTCCAAATTACTAGAAGAAAATTGTCATCTCTTATTTTCAGTTAAATTGCCATTAAATTTGCTACAAGAAATTGTCAGCGTTAGTTTTTGTTTTAGTAGTGAGTTCATATTGCAGGAATTGTGAAGATTTTGGCAAAATTTCTCAGTTGGTAAATCGGAGGGTTTAATCCTTCTCTTTTTTTGATTCTCTGTCACCTTCTTCGTCATGGTTGCAGGTACCCGAAGTACACATATGACAAGTGCTTCTAGGAATCCTTCTTTTTATATGTTTAAGTCCAAGAACAGGGTTGCCATATTAAATTTATCAAATGAGTTTGCCTTTATTGTTTTGCCATGTTTATGTCCGTCAAAATTTGCATTTTACATATGACTCATAACTGTTGCTACCACACACTTTTATCTTTTTTTAATTAATACTATATGGATGAATTTTAAGGCAAATTTAATTGATTAAAAACATAATTGATTGATTAAATTATATTTTTATGATGAAAATAGGGCTCGCTGTGATCGAAAAAGTATGTATGTATCGTGGTAGAAGAATACATATAGTCGCATCGACACAGCTGCTGGGACAATGAACTGTCAAACTAACTGTCAAAACTAATTTTTTAGAAAATTTGGCACTACATATGATTAAAACATTTCATCTAATAGACCCTTTACTTGCGGCTAGTTGTCTTTTGAACTTGTCTCTTGCATTTATGTAAGGCAGGTTTTCCCTTCAATTTTCGTTTTTCATCAAAACTTTTTCCCTCATTGTTAGTTATATACATGGTAAAATTATGAAGGTAAAGTAATTTCAAATAGGCATACCTATCTCTGCATTTTCTGTAATTTACCTTTTCAATTTTCACAGCATAGACAACAGGTTCCCATCTCTGATTTGTGTATGTACATTGGATTTATAAATATAGATTTTGACAATGTAAACATATGATTTTATGACTTTACCTTCTTAATTCTACACAAAGGAGCAATTTTTACACATTTCATTACCTTTCGCTCACACAAAGAGACATTTGTCGCGAGTAAACTCGCCTAATATAAACTCAGACAAATCAACAATTAACTATGGTATACCATGTTCCCACTGGCATGGTTGAAATGATAACCAACGAAATAACTATTAGGAAGGATATTACTTTAAAAACTGAGTGATTAAAATGGATTGGTTCAGTCTAAGTGTTGCAATTTTGGCCTATGTTGAGTTGGACAACCCATTAAGTTATAAATCTATAAAAAATGTATAAATTACTGCAGGATGTTGGTAAACAACTCAAACGTTTCTGGAATGAAAGCGAGTTCAAAATTCAATATTGAAAGTTTAGTTAAAGGGAGTTTTTAAATTCACACGGAGGACTGGGATCTGAGATTTTCGAAAGCTAAACAATTTACAAAATTCAATTTTTGTTCATACCTATATTCTCTTCCAATCCAAGTTATACATTTTCACGGGCACGTCTTTTTGTCAGTTGCTCAAACATTTTCGAATAAAAATAATAATAATATGTGATTTTTGTTGTAGCCGTTGTCGAAAATCTAACAATATTATGAATAATTGCATATAATCGACCCACTCACACACACACACATTCGAACAAAGTAGCAACAAAAACAAGCAAACACTAATTCATTTACTTACTTTTTTGGAATTAACAGGAATATGCCAATTTAACAGGTAAACAATAATAGCAGTTAAGCAAAACCCCATAATAGTTATTCTTAACCAAGGAGAACCGGGTGCGGATGCTGCCGGCGGGAAGAGCAGCGTGAGGTCAGGCGGTGCCAATGAATGATATCGGTTTTGTGATGTACCCAATACGAGTATGTGTGTTTGACAAGAACTTGCGGTGGACCAAAATTTCAAAGTACACCAATGACAACAGCCAAGCAATGTTGTATGTTTGTGGGATAGATGGACGGACGGATGGATGGGTCATAATTGAAAACCCAAATAATCTAATGGTCATCACATTAGAAGATAAACAAAAAAATTGTTGGTGTTTCATTTTTTTTTAACATGTTATCGGATACAAGTTTTTTCGGGTTCATGGATAATTTGCAGCGTTAGGTTTTGTTCAGAGTTTGTCAAAGAAAAAGAAAAGAAAACAAAAAAAAAACTTCTACAGAATGTGCTATTTCCGGTCAAGTGTTTTGAGGAATTGACATATAGTTTCTATTTCTTGTTGACAGAAGAAGTTCTCTATGTAATATATACAAAAAAGACAAAAAAAAGACTTTTCATAGAACCGAAAACTGACTTACACAGGCCTTCTACAAAGGTCTCCTAATAGAGTTGAACCATTTTAAAAGGTGATTTTTTTAGATATTATAGTTTTGGCAACAATGGTTTAAACAGCTCATGTGGGTTTCGTATTTTGTTTCTCCGTCGAACATCTACAGTCTTTTAATTTTGTTATCAAAATGTTCTCTGCCATTAGATCTGCGAACGTGGTGCACGAGTTTGGGCAATTGTTCTGATCCAGGAGCCGTATGTTACAGAAGGGTGTATGCGGGGATTTCTGGGGGTATGCGTGTCATTATGTACGAGGTAAGAGACTCTGCGATAGTTGTTCTTGACAGTTTCATTGACCGTACAGTGGTTTCAAGTAGCCAATGGCGGTTATGTTTGTCCATTGAGTAGTCGATGTTGTTGGCTATCATCTATTGTATATTTATATTTCCGTTGGAGCCGCACTTAAGGTGTATGAATTCGGTACTACTCCTTACGAGTAGTTCTCCGCCAATCCTCGTTGTAGTTCTCTAGATTTCCAGGCATTCCTCTGGCCTTCAGAATCGCATACGAGGAGAAATGCTAGGCGAATGGATGTTGGGATATTAAATAAGCCCCGGGGATCTGTATACTTTTGATGGGCTCTCGGGAGTTAGTGACATTGACGTGATGGGACAGCAACGATTGCTTACCAATTTTGTTGGTGTGTTGTTGATAGCTGGGATGTTAGTGAACAGTAGCTTATTGAGCAGGGAGGCTACTATGTCATTAGCGGACTTTGGGACACTGATCGTTGATGACACGATTTGTAAATTCAACGAGTGGATGAGCGGAGTTAATGACGAGTCTCATGATAGGCGCCCTAAGATGAAACGTGAGCGAAATCTGATGCGAAGGAGACTCAGTCACCTAGAAAGTTATTCCAAAAGGCTAGACTTACCAATGCTGATGTCCTGGCTTAGCGTACTGCTGAGTTTCTTGATTACCTCAGGGCGTAAAAGGACGAACGAGAAAAGAAGACAATTGGAGGAGATTTATCCAGGACAAAAAAGATGATGCATGGACAATAGAGACGCATCCGCTGTATGAGGCAGGGAAGTACCGGCATGCGTGGAAAAGTGCTAAAGTTGTGGTGCTACTTATGTCGGCAGATAAGTTAAGGAGTGATTCTCGCTGCTTTTGGGGCAAATGTCTTCTTCCACCGCTTGAAAAAGTTATGGTTGCACTTTCAGAATACATTGAGTGGATCAAATGTAAAGTATGTCGTTGTCGTCGTTTGTCGAC